GGTGCAGGTTTTTTCTTTGTAGGGAAGAAAGATGGGTCACTTCATCCATGCATTGACTATAGAGAACTTAACAAAATAACCATAAAGAACAAGTATCCTCTGCCCCTCATGAACTCTGCTTTTGATATAATCCAAAATGCTAAGATATTCACCAAACTGGATCTTCGCAACGCTTACCATTTGGTCAGGATACGGCGGGGAGATGAATGGAAGACGGCTTTTAATACCGCAGATGGCCATTATGAATATCTTGTTATGCCATTCGGCCTCACCAACGCTCCTGCCGTTTTCCAAGCCCTGGTTAATGATGTCCTTCGTGACATGATTAACATTTACGCTTTTGTTTACCTTGATGACATACTTATCTTTTCACAAGATAGCATTTCTCACCGTCGCCATGTCAGAGCTGTCTTAACCCGCCTTTTACAGAACAACTTGTTTGTCAAGGCAGAGAAGTGTGCTTTCCACCAAGTGTCCACCTCATTCCTTGGGTTCAACATTTCTCCAGGTCAAGTATCCATGGAACCTGGGAAGGTATCAGCGGTGGTGGATTGGCCCAAGCCCAAGGATCGTAAACAGCTGCAAAGGTTTCTCGGTTTTGCAAATTTTTATAGGAGGTTCATTAAGAACTACAGTTCAGTTGCAGCTCCTCTTCATTTTCTCACCTCATCTAAGACCAAGTTCATCTGGGACTCCGTTGCCAACCAATCATTCCAGAAGCTCAAAACATTGTTTTCCTCTGCTCCAATCTTGCACTCTCCAGACCCCGAGAAACAATTCATTGTGGAGGTCGATGCATCCAGCACCGGGGTGGGTGCCATCTTCAGTCAGCGCAGCACAGATGGTAAGATCCACCCCTGTGCTTACTTCTCCAGGGCACTCTCCCCCGCTGAGAGAAACTACGACGTGGGAGACCGTGAGCTTTTGGCAGTCAAGATGGCCCTGGAGGAATGGAGGCACTGGCTGGAAGGTGCGAAGAAGTCCTTTTTGGTATGGACCGACCATAAAAACCTGGAGTACCTTCGCACAGCAAAGAGACTCAATCCCCGTCAGGCCAGGTGGGCTATGTTTTTCTCTCGGTTCAGTTTCACCCTCTCTTACAGACCCGGGCCCAAGAATGCCAAGCCGGATGCCCTGTCCCGGGTCTTTGAGGTCAAGGAAGGGCCCTCAGAAGAGGTCGAGTTCATCCTGCCTGAGACCGTACGTCTTTCTTTGACTCAATTAGAACTCGATCTCCAACAAGTCCAACTCTCCGAGCCACGTCCACCCACCTGTCCTAGGGGGCGCCTGTTTGTCCCCAATCAAAAGGTAAAAGAGGTTCTTGAATTATGCCATTCATCAAAGTTGTTCTGTCACCCAGGAATCACCAAGACCCTCCAACTCATTTGCACCCGATTCTGGTGGGCTACGCTTACGGAGGACACCAAGCACTTTGTCAAGTCATGTCCCGAATGCAATCGTGCCAAGTCTTCCAATCGCCCACCTGCCGGGCTGCTACGACCACTGCCAATTCCTTCACGCCCATGGTCACATATTGCTATGGACTTTGTGACTGGATTACCCCCTTCTGAAAGTAATTCAGTGTTATTGACCATTGTGGACCGTTTTTCTAAAATGGTCCACCTGGTTCCTCTCCCCAAGTTACCTTCTTCCAAGGAGCTCAGCGTTATCATGGCCAAGGAGGTTTTCAGGCTCCATGGGCTCCCCCAGAACATTGTGTCTGACCGAGGTCCCCAATTCATTTCCAAGTTCTGGAGGGAGTTTTGCAACCTGCTAGGGATCTCGATCAGCCTCTCGTCAGGTTTTCATCCCCAAACGGATGGACAATCTGAGCGTACCAACCAGGAGGTGGAGACCAAGCTTCGGCTCCTCTGCGAGGGGGACCCGAGGAAATGGACGTCCAACCTCCCTTGGATTGAACAAGCAATCAACTCTCTTCCATCCTCTACATCAGGTATTTCACCCTTTCATGTTGTCTATGGATTCCAACCCCCTGTTTTTTTCAGTCCAGGGGAGAGAAGCTCGGGTTCCCTCTGCACGACTCGCAATTTTACGTTGCCAGCGAGTCTGGAGAAAAGCCAGGAGAGCCCTAATTTTGGCCACCAAAAGGTACGTTCGGGGGGCTAACCGCAGGAGAACGCCTCAACCATTGTACAAGGTGGGCCAGAAAGCGTGGCTCTCCACCAAGGACCTTCCTCTCCGTGTGGAATCTAAGAAACTAGCACCACGTTTCATTGGTCCTTTTCTGATTACCAAAATAATCAATCCTGTCTCTGTTCGCTTACAGTTACCCAGGTCCATGCGCATTCATCCAACGTTTCATGTCTCAAGACTCAAGCCATTTGTCCTGCCACGTTTTCGACCCACCACCGACCTCCCACCACCCGCCCGACTCATTCAGGGGAGCCCAGCCTACACGGTCCGACGCCTTCTTCGATCCAGAAGGTGGGGGAGAGGACTCCAGTATCTGGTAGACTGGCAGGGGTACGGCCTGGAGGAACGTTCCTGGGTGCCCTCACGCAATATTCTGGACAAAACCCTCATTAGAGACTTTCATCGACTGAACCCTCTCCAGCCTGGTGGTCCTTCAGGAGCCGGACCTTGAGGGGGGGGTTCTGTCATAGCTCTGCTCTCTGTCAGCTCCTCTGTCATGCTGCACACTCAGTAATCACTCAACTCATGTCACCTGTCACCGCTCATTATCCCACAGCTCCACCACCTGGTCCAGTCAGTACTTAAGTTCACTCATTCCTCTCAGTCTGGGCCAGATTCTCTATCCTGTCTCATCAGCAGTAGACTTTCCAGCATTCCATTGATTGACTCATCACGTTCATGACCCTTGCCTTGACCACGACCACGCTTTTGCCTCAGCCCTCGTCTGCTTTTGCTCATCTGATCAGGTACCGACTCATGCTCTTGTTTTTTGACTCTTTTTGGATCACGTACTGGATACTTCTGCTGAACAACTGACTTCACGGTATGAACTCTGCCTTTCCCTTCTGACTGTTTTTTTTGGATCACGGATTAAAGGTCAAGCCCATTCTGTATCACGGACTTATCCTTACCCCTGAATCTGATTCCCACAGATTCATTTCCCCAATTAGTCTCTTTCCCCCTGCATCTTCTAACCTTTATCTTTTAGTTGCAAGCCTGTTGGACTCCGTTCCAGTGGACCTTAACATCAGTTCTACTTCTACTGGCAGCCCACCACTACAACACTACCCAATCACGAACTACCAATCAGAAGATCGGAACCAGCCCAGAACCGGACCTACTCCAGAGTTTTACTTTATTTCACAATAAATCTTTTAACCCTCTCAGTGGTTGTTGTTGTTGTTTGCGATCCGGCCTCTGGTTCATGACATTAATGGACATTTTTCCTAACATTAGCTATTTATGGAGCAATATATGAGCTGTTGTTTTGCTAACTGTATTCAGCATGCCAGCTGTATGTGATCATAATCTTGATGGCAGCTAAAATTTAAGTAATGACAAACTTAACAATTACTTTGAAGGAAATAGATTGTGTTGTTTTAACAAGCAAATGTCTTTGTTATCTTACTCACAATTTTAGCATCATCACATCATGCTGTTTATTCAGATAAGATTTTTTTTAGAAGTGAAGGGGAAACAATGATGTGTCAGAGGTTTAACACATGAAGTCAAAAGTCCAGTCAAACCAGTTTTCATAGTGCTTTTATGAGACAGCCCAACCTGGAACACAGATGTTTTTACACTGGCAAATTTGTGTTGTATTGTTCATATTAAGAGAAAACAGCTTTTGCAGTGCAAAAGCTGTGTTCCTGTAATTTTATCATTTATTTCTAACTAAAGGGTTCCTGTTGGTTCTTCACACTCTTGACGTTGTGGCTCACCAGAGAAGAAAAATAATTTTAAAGTGAAGTGTCAAGCCACTTGAAGAGATTCATAATGCCAGTCAAGCTTCCAAAAAGGCTGAACAGCAAGAAGAAAAGTAGGTTTATCATTTGTTGTTTTCCAGAGATTGCTATGGATGAAAATGTGGCAGCTATCATGCTGCTACTATTTTAATTAGTAAAAAAAAATAAAAAAAATAAATAAGGTAACACTTTACAATAAGGTACACAAAATTTGATTAACTACAAGAGAATGCCTCAGGAACGAATCAGGAACAAATGAGGAGTTAATAGGTAGTTAACCAGTACTTACTGGGAAACACACAGCCAAGCCTTATTAGGGGACTACTGATTAGTTACCTTGTAAACAAAGATGAACTAATCAAGAACTAATGGGTAGTTACCAAAGAAAATAAAGATGAATGAATCAGGAGCTAATGGATAATAAAATCAGTAATCACTAGGAAACAGGTTTTTGACAAGTATAAGCTGTGACCTCACTGGTGCAGGGTTTATTCAGAACCCACATGGGTAATTTCTCCTCTGTTTCTGTGGTAACAAACCAGTAGTCCCCTAATAAGGCTTGGCTGTGTGCTCCCCAGTAAGTACTGTTTAACTACCCATTAGCTCCTGATTCGTTCCCCTTTGGTTTTCTTGGTAACTACCCATTAGTTCTTGATTAGTTCTTCTTCGCTTACAATGTAACTAACCAGTAGTCCCCTAATAAGGCTTGGCTGTGTGTTCCCCATTAAGTACTGGTTAACTACCCATTAGCTCCTAATTTGTTCCTTAGGCGTTCCCTAGTAGTTAAGCAAATTTTGTGTACCTTATTGTAAAGTGTTACCAAATACATTATATGACTTTTTTAGATGGTCGTCTATACTTCTCAAAAATACTTTGTGCTATATCTGTAACATCTGCATTTATATCTCCATATGATGAGAAGTGCACAGATAGAGAAACTGAAAAACATTTAGGTTTCACTTTTACTTTAAAGTCACTGCTGCAGTGAAACAAGCCGACACAGGTTAAATAATCACACAACTGCATTTGTGTTTCCTCCAACTGTCAAAGCAAATGGTGTGACCAGGGATGTTAATTTTACACACAACAAACATGATAAGGATGGAGCTGGGTAAGGTTTTATCTGGGGACTTCAGACTTCAGAAGACATTTATCAAGGTTTACCACTTTCATTGGAAACAAAATTAGCTTAAACTTGCAGTGCAGTAGAGGAGAATGTGCTTAGACTAAAAGAAACCCACAGCAAGATTGACAGCTTTAATGTGTTTACCAATTAACCATAATTGGTTTAGCGGCAGCAATTGTAAATTTAATGGTAATAGTGCAAAGGGGTTGTCTGTGTAGAGGAAATACTAATGTCAGTTTTTCAAGTGTAGTCTTTCAGATACTGCAGTTTTCGTTCATACAGTGTGGATCGGCAGCATAATTAAAGGGTAATTTGATTTGAACCATGGTGCAATAGGTTTTAGTTTGTTTGGTTGTTTTATTATTTTATTTTGACATGCTTCTTTATGCCAAAAGCATTTAGCTTGGTTACACCCAGGTGCTGACATAGCTGCCCAATAATCTTGGGGGTAGGTCCTCATCATTCAGTTGTTTTTTTTAAGTATAATCTTTTCTTTTTTTTTCTGTTTTAACAGGACATCTGACTGACAATGCCAAAGTAGAAATTTTACATAAGCTTGGCCTGGAGACCTGCAGAACTCAACTACTGGATCCAGCATCCATGTTAGATATCAGTACATGGGCTATGGAGGACCCAGCTCCTCTGAAGCTCAAAGATCTACCACATGCTTTCCTCCGACGCCTTTGGATGCTTCGTCAAGATGCTCGAAATCCTTGTTGCCAACCTCAACATGACAGTTTTATCAATGGCAAGAACCTGGTTGTAGAGAAGTCAGGTGGTTTTGAAAGCAAGAATCTTTATAGCCTCCACCACTTTTCTTCAGCAGGAGATAGCAGTGCGCATGTCACAGTACAAGTTTGCTGTGCCTCTGGTTCTTCCTAATGTTGACCCAGAAGAACCTGGTCAATTCCTTCTTTGGCCTTCAAGAGGTGCTATGGGTCAGTGGAGATCTCACTCTTTGGAAACAAGCAGAATTTGTTTGGCAAGTACGTCTATGCCAATTGTTTCATGTGTGAAACTTGGTCAGTGCAGTGTCTCTAAGTCACGAGTGTTAAATTATGTTCTGAATGGACCTGTATCTTGTTTTGAAACATTTGTGCACAAAGGGATTGATGGAGGACAGCTAGCACAAAGACTCTCTAATGGTTTAGTCGAGATTGGATGGTATTTACCCATCGGAGAAGTGAAAGATGTTTACCCTGTACCTTTGGCCATCTCTAATCTACGTGGTGATGCTAGTACACATGAAAACTGCCTTAAACTTCTATGTCAAATATCCTCAGCTGTTATTGTTTTTTATGGGGACTGTACAGAGAAAGGAAAGCAACTTATTTTGTCTTGTCAAGATATGGAAAGTAAACTAATACTAATTGACGTATCAGTTGCTGAAGACAGTACTGTGGGATCTGTCGGTCGCAGTCTTGAACAGCAAACAGGACTTTCTGAAGTGCCTGTTCTTTCAGGGGTCAATTTAAGTGAAGAGGAAGTAGCTAATAAGGTGAGGGAAATCCTAAAAAACTGGCTGCCAAAGAGACTGAAATGTGTTACACTTGAGGCTGCAGTTAAATTTGCTTTGGAAACAGGCCTAAATGTGGATGAAGGCCCAGTCTGCAAAAAAGCAATGGCCTCAGTGGAAAAAGTGTTGAAAGGTTTAGATGAGGGAACGGCTGAATTTCGAATGAAGCAGCTTCCTTTACAGGGTCCTTCATGGTGCAAAGTGGCAGAGATAGATCGGTAGGAGAGTAAACAAAGAAAGAATGAAAAAGAAATCAACCTGCAACTTCATAAAGAGAAAAAAGTCATTTTAACTGAGTTGAGCGGCTACAAAATGACCCCAGCAATGAAGTCTTTCACAAGTGCTCTTTGCACATCTAATAAAATAGAGAGGACTTATTTTCTTACTTGGCTCAATCTGAGACTTTGCTTGATGCAAACTGAAAAGCAAAAGATTCTGCAAGAGTTTTTTACGAATTTGGAGACAGAGAACATTGAGGATAAAGAGAACAGCAGCAAAGAGAACAGCAACAGTTTATGCCCTGTTTCAGTATTTGAAGAGGAAAATGAAGTGCAACCTGTAAACACAGAGTTGCAGGTTTCTGAGCAACATTGTGAAATATTTCAGGAGGGTTTTTTTGCAGCCAAAAGATACAAACACAGAATGTCAGTCCCAACAGACTGACCATATTAAGCAAGTGACAATACAGGCAGCTCATATCAAAGACAACATTTCAGTTCAAGTCTCTGAAGCCCAAAGATCTAATTTAGATTCAGTGGAATCTGGCACTTTGAGCTGCAAAGAGAAACATTCAGGTCGTGAGGAATCATTTGAAACCCAGCTAGCCTCATGTTCACAACCATTTGAACCCAATTTATTCACACTGGGGCTTGAACACTTTTTGAGTGAAATGGGTCTCATTTATGAGCTTACACATACTCGTAGGAGTCAAAATGTGTTGCATTTGCCAAGCTTAGCTACTGACCTTCTTCTCTATGGAGTGCCACTCGAGCTGATGGATGGAGATGCTTCAAACATTCCCATTTGCTGGCTGGGTTGTGTTTTTGCAGAGCTCAAACGCCGCCTACATCTAAAGCAGTTTAGGACCAGAGTGCTGACAAGCCTTGGTGATTATTATGCTAATAACGCTGAGGTTATGTCTGCATTGTTTGGGGTAAAATTCCCAGAGGGAGGGGCAAGAACAAATAGAGGGGTGTACATGGTTGCCTTGTTTCTCCCCGATTACATTAGAAAGGAAGCAGAATGTGATTCTCTGTTGTTAATTGATATAGAAGGCCTTGGTTCAGAGTCAGCAGACAAAACAAACCTGCTGGTTCATGATAATATAATGGCCACCTTTGCAACAGGACTGAGTGATGTCCTAATTCAGAACATTTCTCCATTTGATGGAAATGACTTTGAAACAACTTTAACCGTTATGGTAAATGCTCTCATATGCACAAAAGAGCGTGGTTCACTGCCCATTTGCCAAATCCTGACCCAGGACGATGGATTAAATAGCATATTATGTGCCTCACAGTTAAGGCATGTTTCCAAGATGCTACAAAATGATAACAAAGGAAAATTTAATCATGCAAAGACTACAAGCTGTGTTACATGCATCAAAGGGCCTTGGTCCAATGTACATCTGTCTGAACCACTTGACATGCACTTTGGTAAAGCTGTGTTACAGCTAAAAAAGAACCTGATTGGAGCTCTGAAATGGTGTTCAGCCAAGTCTGAAGCCCCAGATCTTTTGGAAATTTTGAGACGCTTGTGTACTGTCTGGGATGTAGTGAAATCAGAATCATTTTACATTGGTCTGCAGAATACCAATGTAGCATTAGCATTTTCTGTTCTGTGCACAGAGTTCTCCCATTGGGAGGAATGTATTTTGCAAAACATGGAAAGCTGGCTAAAAGAGGCAACAACAAAAATCTCTAGCACGACAAATGCTTTGGATACTTCGGTTCAAAAAGACCTTTGGAATGAGCTGAACAATGAAATCCAAGTGGAAGTCAAATCAGAAGTGAATGAGGTCAAGTCAAAATTAGAGGCCTATCTGATGAAAGATGACATCCTCAAAGCAAACAGTGAAGCCTTATGGCCAATCATAATGAGCAACATTGTTAACCTTCAGGAAAGAGTAATGAACAAGATCAAGCTAAAGTTAGAGACATGCATTGAATCCCATTGTTTTCTCACACAGATAAATAAGTTTGAGGCCCTGCTGGAAAAAGAACAAGAGTTCAAACTAGTTGCTCTAGTTGAGACGAGTAAGTCAACCAAAATTCTCCAAGATTCTGAATTGGAAGAAAACTTTGAGGCAGTGTGGAAAAGTACATTGTCAAACTTTGATTTCAGACCTTCAGTGACAGACAACATTACTTCAAGAGTGACAGAGGTTCTAAGGCAAAATATAATCAGTCGTGGCCTCCAGAAACACATGCATAAACTTGATGTCTGTGACCAAAACCAGACTGCTGGCTTCCAAGTTTATGATGAGCACTTTGGATATCGCAGCAGACTGAAGTGCATGTTTGAAGACAACAACAGACGACAGAGAGGAGAAGCTCAACAGGTAGCATACAAAATCATCGAAGAAAGCAATCAGTTTGTAGCTGAGAAATGTAGCCTACCCAAAGATTTTTCAGACAGTTATATTGTTGAACTGCTAGAAAACATTGAAAACACATTGAAGGAAAATTCTATGAAAATCAGATCAGTTTTTGAAGTAGATTTGAAAGTTTATATCTGTAATGCAGCATGCCAAGACTTCCAAAAACTACATGATCGTTACACTAAAGACAGAGAAGTTTTGGCATGTATTTCTACAACCAAGACTATGTAAATAGCACAGTTTATCTACCAGTTCAGGAAAAAGGATCAGTGCCAGAGGATGACCCAAGCATTTCTGTCTATGGTCATCAAACCTACAGTGTCAGACTACATCAGTAGATCAATAGCAAGAGAGATTGCAGAAGAGATTAAAGTCAAAGCCCCAATGTATGATTCTCCACATGCCTTCCAGAAAAGTTTGCTAGAAGATCTGATTAAAGAGGACCAATTTGAAAGTTTTGTGGAATGTTTGTTGTCTTATGATGATTTCATACTGAAAAAGATCCAGAAGACAGTGAAGGATCACCTTTCTGAATTAACCAGCTTAAATCAATGGAGGCTGCAGAAGCTTGGAGAGATTGTTGGAAAGGTTGAAGCAGCTCTGAGCCTAATATATATATATATATATATATATATATATATATATATATATATATATATATATATATATGTATAGAGGCAGGGCAAGCAATTTAGGACCCGAAAGTTCCAGGTTCAATCCCCAGTCATTGCACAACTTGCTGTGTCTCCGAGCAGCACACCTTATCCCATAATGCACCACGCGCTCCCCCAGTAGCCACCCACATCGATGGGTTAAATGCAGAGAGATAATTTTGCCATTGTGTGGGAACATACAATGATGATAACACATTATTAATATCTATTTTAAACAATCAATTTACTGTATATAAACATTTCCTTTCTAGTATAAAGGTCCCGTATAGTTTAAAGGTTTAGGTAAGTGTTCAGTTGTTCAATTTTGGTCATACTACCATTTCCCAGTGCCCACTGTTTTCTATGGTGATAAATATATTCACACAAAAGTCATCATCTGTACAGTATTATGAACAACACATTAACTATTGAACTAAGTAATAAACGTGTTTGGAAAGTTGGATTAAAATTCTCATTTCTTATTGTGTCAATAGACACCTTGTTGATCCCACTTATTATCGCCAGTATCTTAAGAGAGGAATAAATTATAGAAAAAAATGTTAAATCCACAAGAGGGCAATATAAGATGAAGCAAAAGCTCACAGAGATGATAAGACAGATGTTTTACTGTATATCTAAAATATGCCAAATCTAAAACTTTCTTTGATGTTTAATATTTATATATATGTCTATAGTTTGACCATTGAAAAGCCTACTACAAGTACATGTTTAATTGTATTTTGTAATGATTGCTAATCCCTTACTGCAATGATAATAATGCCATTACTCTTATAAAATAATACCATTTTTAGTGTTTCTTTAATTCTATAACAAATGCTGTTTTTTTCTCGCTTTAGTCTTTTTCATATAGTATGCAAGTTTCAGTGAGATTCTTGTGGAATACAGACCTACAATTGGGAAGGGTGCACCATCATTACCTGCAGTGTTTGAGAAGATTTGTGTAGAATTATTCATAAAATAATTCTCAGCTCTAAAAATGACATAAATCCTACTGTGATGGCCTTAAGGTTCTTTCACTCGCTTCTTTTATTTCAAAATAATTTATTCTTATGTCAAGGATGGGAAAAATAAACTGGTAAAAATGGGGATTTGTGTTATACTGTGATAACATATTTGCACATGGTTTTCATAAACGTGCTAATACTTCGACACACTTATTTAAAATCAACTTATTCCTACAGATTTTCAATTTCTTCTTGGGTACAAAATAAACACAAAAAGTCTAACATGAATTTGCTCTGTGTATAGTATAAACTTACATTAAAAAGCCTGGTTTTAATTATTATATTTTTTATATAACACTCTTGGTACATGTTTACACATTTTTTTGCTGTCATGCTGTTTGTCGACTCTCATCAGGTCTCTCTTGTAAATGAGTCCTCGAGACTCAGTGGAACTAACCTGTAGAAATAGAGGTTGATTGAAAAAAAAAATCTTAACCATTTTGACCCTCGTTCATATCAACTGAAACATGGTTCTTTGAATATGCACAAGCAAAACTGTAAAGACAAAGATCTGTTCTGTGGCTGATGTATTGTCAACTGTCATCCACACTACTCTCACTCACACAGAGACCCAGGACTCACATGTCAGAACATAAAGGTGCAACTGATGTGGACTGACCGATGCTGGATGTGTACAGATAAAAATTAGCCCAAGCCTAAATCTGGTGTCATGCATCAAATGTTTTTACATTCATGTTATAATTGCACACTGTCCTGAATAAATAAAATGTCCTTATTAAATATGGGCAGACCACAGTCGGTAAAGATCCACAATGTGTTGTTCTTCATTATTTTTCTCAAAACTGACTGAGTTTGATTGAGTCCTGTGCCCCCTCCTATACAATTTATACTAATCCTGATGAGTATGATTATGAGATTGTAGTCAGTCCTATACAATCTACATTTGATTGCTCTGCAAGGTATTCAGGAAATCATATTGTGAAATTCATGGATGACTGCCATTGCTGGACCAATTTCTTACTTACAAATCTATATATACCAGGGAGGTGGGAGAGCTTACTGGTAGATGTGATTAAAAAAAATAAAATAAAACCTGAGCATCAATGTGACAAAGACTAAAAAGATAAAGGGCTGGACTTCAGGGAAAGAGCTTCTACCTCCCTCTCCTTCATAATTTTAGGAGGTGTGGAGTGAAAACAACTTTAATACTTAAACCTACGTTGACCTGACATTGGCCACAAACAGCCAGCATCATTAAGAAGACTCACCAATACTGGACAGGCTGAAGCATGCTACCCTCAGGGCTGTTGTACAACCTTCCTTTGACTTTTATTTTACAGTCAGGTATGGAAACATTTCAGAGGATGACAAGAAGATGCTGTAAAGAATTATTAAATTGGCAAAAAATGACCATCAGCATCTTTTCTTCACCCGAGGACAATTACAGTGCAACTGATGACTTAATAAACTCAAAGTCTGAAAATGGTTTTGTTCCTTTTCATAAGGTCATTCTGGCTAAATGAAATCTGGCATCAATGAAATCAAGGCAGAATGCCTTGATTTCATTGATTTAAACACACAAATCCATGCCAATTGTACTTTGTATTCCCCAATTTACTTTCTCTTGTAAAATATGACTGTCACATGCTACTTCCTTCCTTCTGGGCAAGAGCTTATGCCTAAACTGAAGTAAATCAAAGTACATTTTCAGATTTGCAGGTAATGGCTTTCAATTCACTCACCTTTTATTTGACTACCAACTATTCCAGACTATTTTGAAGGTCTCCCAACAAACCCTCACAAAAATAGAAAAGAAAAAAAAAAGAATTTTTAGG